GATCGGCTGGAGAATATTATTTGCAATGTTGCTGCGGGGAATGTTCTTTTTAAAGAATCGGAAATTCTCCTCTTTAGGGTGCGTGTAGCTCTGTCATCCTTGAATTCGATGTTTGTGTACAAAGTTTTCTTTTCTACTGTAGTTATCTATGCTTTCGGCTTTATGTTCTTATCGATGAATATCGAAGGACATCCGTTTTTAATAAGTATCTTCAAGTGGTGCAATTCTTCACCTATGATTGTGACTACAGACTCGTCGCATTCTTGTTGCAAGTGTTATTATCAAGTCCCTTTTTTGACTAATGGGGACCCAGCTGTAGAAACTTGATAGTTAGCCATTCCACATGGGTTTCCTGTAGATAAATCTTTTTAGAGAACCATCTTTCTTTCTTGTCATTCCCACGTCAATAAAGTGAATATTCTGTTTGTTTTCAACTTCTAATGTGAATTTTATTGTTAGGTGACAATTATTAAATGTCTTCAGAAGATGACTCAAGTCATATTTGTTGTCACAAACGATAAAGATATCATCTACGTATCTTTTATCAGTATTATTATCATCCTGTAAAAATAAGTATATATATTGTGGTGGTCGGTGTTCGATATATTCCTTAAACTCCGTATACAGTTCGTCTCGGTAACCGTCACCAAATAATGTTCCAACGGTATATTAATCAGAAGGCGAATACGAAGTGTTAATTACGTTCATTATGGGACCACACACAGATATCCGAAATTACAGATGCGTTAAGCAAGCATGAAATAGTTGTGCCGAAAGGCAAACAGGCAAGCGAGCGGGCGAGAGAGAGCAAGGGCAAGAGCGAGCGATCGAGTAATGAATATGAATAACATGGACATATATATATACATAGTGAAATGAATGAATCATCGAGTCAATTAGGCGGTTAATAGTAAAGCTAGTAGCGTGAATAAATGCGTAGGCAGTAACGCTTGTCGAGCATACACGTTCATACAAGGATAACAATAATAAAGGTACATACATTTGCAACAGTAATAAGGATACAATAAGTTATTATAGTGCAGGTGACTTTGTTCGTTTAATAAGTTAATAAAAGGGCTTATAACCGAATTAGGTGAGAGCAAACTCAATTCAACGTGAGTTACTTACTTACTTACTTACTTACGCCTGTTACTCCCAATGGAGCATAGGCCGCCGACCAGCATTCTCCAACCCACTCTGTCCTGGGCCTTCTTTTCTAGTTCCATCCAATTCTTGTTCATTTTTCTCATGTCTATCTCCATTTCCCGGCGTAATGTATTCTTTGGTCTTCCTCTCCTCCTTCGACATTGAGGATTCCATATGAGGGCTTGTCTTGTGACGCAGTTGGGTGTTTTCCTCAATGTGTGTCCAATCCACTTCCAGCGCTTCTTCCTGATTTCCTCCTCCACTGGGATCTGATTTGTTCTCTCCCACAGTAGGTTGTTGCTTATAGTGTCCGGCCAGCGGATCTGAAGTATTTTGCGTAGACAACTGTTAATAAACACCTGTATCTTTTGGACGATGGATTTCGTAGTTTTCCAGGTTTCCGCCCCATACAGTAGAACTGTCTTGACATTTGTATTGAAAATTCTGACTTTGGTATTGGTTGCCAATTGTTTTGAGTTCCAGATATTCTTCAGTTGTAAATATGCTGCTCTTGCTTTGCCAATCCGTGCCTTCACATCTGCATCAGATCCACCGTGTTCATCGATGATACTGCCCAAATATGTAAAGGTTTTTACATCTTCCAAAGCTTCTCCGTCAATTGTGATTGGATTGGTACATGTTGTGTTGTATCGAAGAATCTTGCTTTTCCCTCTGTGTATATTGAGACCTATTGCTGCTGAGGCTGCAGCTACACTGGTTGTCTTCTCCTGCATTTGTTGTTGTGTATGCGATAGAAGAGCCAGATCATCTGCGAAGTCTAGATCATCCAATTGCATCCTAGATGTCCACTGTATCCCGTGCTTCCCTTCAGATGTTGATGTCTTCATGATCCAGTCGATCACCAGGAGAAAGAGAAAGGGTGAGAGTAAGCAACCTTGCCTGACACCGGTCTTTACTTCGAACGACTTTGTCAACTGTCCTCCATGAACGATCTTGCAGTTTAATCCATCATAGGAATTCTGTATGAGATTGACTATCTTCTGAGGCACGCCGTAGTGTCGAAGAAGCTTCCATAGGGTTGTTCTGTCCACGCTATCAAATGCTTTTTCGTAGTCGATGAAGTTGATATAGAGTGATGAATTCCATTCAATTGATTGTTCCACAATGATCCGTAGAGTTGCGATTTGGTCTGTGCACGATCTATCCTTACGGAATCCTGCCTGTTGGTCTCGAAGTTGGGCGTCTACGGAGTCCTTCATCCTGTTTAACAATACCCTGTTGAAGACTTTTCCTGGTATTGAGAGAAGAGTGATTCCCCTGTAGTTGTCACAGTTGCTGAGATCGCCTTTCTTTGGTATTTTGAACAGAAGTCCTTCTTTCCAGTCTTTTGGTACCTGTTCCTCATCCCAGAACTTTCTGAAGAGAATGTGGAGTATCCTTGCAGTTGCCGCTACGTCTGCTTTCAGTGCCTCTGCTGGAATGCTGTCTAGTCCTGCTGCTTTGCCACTCTTGATTTGTCTGATAGCCATGCTGATCTCTTCAATTGTTGGTGCGCCAACATCAATTGGGAGGTCCGTGAGTGCTGCTTCGATGTTGGGTGGGTTCAGTGGGACTGGTCGATTCAAGAGTTCTTTGAAGTGTTCTACCCACCTGTTTCGTTGTTCTTCAATGTTGGTGATTATCTTGCCTTCCTTGCTTTTCACTGGTCGTTCTGGTTTACGGTGATTTCCGGAGAGTTTCTTTGTTGTTTCATACAGTTGTCTCATGTTTCTTTCTCTGGCAGCCTTTTCCGCCGTCATTGCCAAATCCTCCACATATTTACGTTTGTCAGTTCTGATGTTCCTCTTCACTTGCTTGTTTACTTCTGTGTATTCAGCCTGTGCCTTGACTTTTTCTGCTCTTGTTCGACTGGTATTGATTGCTGCTTTCTTGTTCCTCCTTTCTTAAATCTTATCCAGTGTATCGGCCGTGATCCAATCCTTGTGATGGTGCTTCTTTTGGCCCAGAACCTCATGACATGTTGAAGTGATTGCTTCTTTTATCTCTTTCCAGTTGCTCTCCATAGTAGTTTCTTCTCCATTGAGTAGATCATGAAAGGCTTGGAACTTATTGCTGAGGGTTATCTTGAATTTATTGAGTTTGTCATTATCCCGAAGAAGAGACGTATTAAATTTTTGTGATATTGTCCTCTCCGTTGTCTAGTGCCTCTTGAGTTTCAATTTCATCTTGGCGACCAGCAAGTGATGATCTGATGCTATATCTTCTCCTCTCTTGGTTCTCACGTCCTCCATCGTCCTCCTGAACTTTTTGTTGATGCAGATATGGTCGATTTGGTTCTGTGTGGTGTGATCCGGTGAAGTCCATGTGGTCAACGTGAGTTGCTATAATATATTTGTGATTGTACAGATTTGAAAATGAATTCGCCAAAAACAGGAGAACTCTTCACTGAACTAATCTTTCTTATTTAATGTCTTAATGGGTGTATTCCATTTATTAAAAGATTTTCAAGTAATCATTATGAAGTATTTGACTTATGAGTACACAAATGTAATTCAAATGGAACGTTTATGAAAGTGGATATTTATACCGTCATTTGATTATGAGATGGTGAAAATTTGTAACACAACTGGATGATTTTGATATAGTTTTGTTCTTTGAACTGAATGATTTGGTCATGGAGCTTTCATTGTTATCCTGAACGAAATCATCAACACAAACTCCAGATAGAAGTGAACTGTTCGAATTTCTCCATATGTGGTTTATAGCTAGTCCTGGTAGACTTTGAGGTAACAACCATGTTATTTCTGAAACAAAAAATAAACTGAATTTTAATGAATTCAAAAACTGTCTTGGTAAAATCTGAAAACCACACAGTAAATACTTCACTTCTACAGTAATCATCCTATGTCCTTGTTCTATTTTCTTATACATCTACCGCCAGGCATTTCACTTTCGATTGATGATACATACTACCAATATTATCCATGACTACCTATATCTGTTGACATCAGTAGCCTATACCATAAGATAACATATTAAAACGACATGAGCCCTAAAGATATGCGTTTCAGTAGGATAGAAATAATCAGTTCTTCTAAGATCTGTATTAAGTGTAACAAAGATGAAATCTAGACGAATCAGAGTTTATTAATGTTAGTGTCCTACTAAGTAGATGCCAACAATCATTCAGTTTTCTTTTCTTTTTCCATTAGAATACCGATATAGAAATGTGAGTACTTTGTTTCTTTACAAGGATCTATGTTTCAATTCACTTGATATTAGTTATTTGGATCTTTTAATTATTGTTTAAGACTACAATTGATCAGTCTCTTATTGGCATATGTGCATACAGTGCGTACCACCTCGATATTGCTTATAATGCTTGTCAATTAAAGCAATATCTAGGCAACCCGTACAAGATGCATAAATGACAATAAGAGACTGATCAAATGCAGTCCTTAACAACAATTTGAAAATTCAAGTAAATAATTCCAAGTGAATTTAAACTTCGCCCCAATGTACAAGCTAGTGGCTATCAGGATTCAGTATCTAACTGGGTAAACGCGATGATATTTGAAGCGAACGGTACTGGGTTCGAGTCACAGAGTGAACATCAACTATGAGATGCAGGTATATCTAGGTGACAAGTCTCAGATAGGATGCAAAGCGCGTAAAATTGGATTTCACTGCTACCCACTATTCATCTTTGCTTATGAACTATATTTCACTTCAATTTATAATGAATTCAACTTCAACAATTTCCAAAAATTATTGGATTGTATTAATGAAGATTAATGTGTTTATGACTTCATTTCTCAGTCTAATACATTTTAACTGACCTAAAATAAAGAAGAAAAGAAAAAATGAATAAAACATTTAGATTTAAAATCTTGTTAACAATAAATTTTAATCACAGCATTAATGAAAGGAAAATGACTTCTGTAGGATACTCTGTTTACAATTTGATTACATTCAGAGAAAGAATAAGTAGTAGTAGTAGTAGTAGTGGTAGTAGTAGTAGTAGTAGTAGTGGTAGTAGTAGTAGTAGTAGTAGTAGTAGTAGTAGTAGTAGTAGTAATAGTAGTAGTAGTAGTAGTAGTAGTAGTAGTAGTGGTAGTAGTAGTAGTAGTAGTAGTAGTAGTAGTAGTAGTAGTGGTAGTAGTAGTAGTAGTAGTAGTAGTAGTGGTAGTAGTAGTAGTAGTAGTAGTAGTAGTAGTAGTAGTAGTAGTAGTAGTAGTAGTAGTAGTAGTAGTAGTAGTAGTAGTAAAGTATTCATGTGCATGGATTCTGTATTGAATAATACCACATATGAGGACAGTCGATTGTATTTGAACACAAAATTACAGAAGATCATGGTAAAATCTGAGAACCAAACAATAAATACTTCATTTACAAAATGTCTATCAATTGTCTCAGACTTCATCGTTCTTTCGTTTCCACATCAATCACTCTCTAGTATTTAGATACATCCAACTGATGAGTCGTAAATAGGACGAAACGCATATCCTGGATTCCACTACTAGCCACTATGCATGTTTACTGATTATACTCTGTTCTTGTTCTCTTTTGTTTTGATCTTGTTAATCTTCTGCTTCTAGGAATTTCTTTTTCGGATGATCACACATACTACTTATATCTACCGATATCAATAGCATACATCACAATACATATAGTATTGAGGAGTTATTGCGGATACTTTGTTAACGATTGTGTATACAAATTTATAAGTATCTGTCAGGATAATTTGTTTGTTAAGACAGAGATGAAGAGGCTACTCCGAATAATTGTGAGTAAATTACGAATTATCTTCATTCAACAGTATCTAATCTGTTCCCTAGTGGATTTTCTAAATGAGGTGATCAATAAATGATTAAGTTGTAGTTTGCGACAATTTATTATTGTAATAGTTGAGATCACGAATCAGTTGAAGCTAGACAACCATGGAAAACCGGGAAGCACTGGACGGTCATTTCATCCTATTGTGGGACTCGTCAGCAGTGCGCATCCGCGATCCCGCCTCTCGGGATTCGAACCCGGGACCTATTGGTCTCCCATGCGAAATCTTAACCTCTAGACCACTGGGCCGGTACCCGACGGTGCTAATGTCTGACTTTAACCAATCTAGAAAATTTAGCTACACGTCCACCATTGTTTTCAGTGAATTCCCATCTGACAACAGACCTGCTTGAACTTCACTAGTTTCTTTTTTATATTCGAATACAGTTAAGCAATGTGTTAACGAATTGGTGTATAACAAATTTATTTATTGATTTAAACAAATAAACATTGGTACAAAAATGCACCAAATAAATTTGCGTCACATAAATCATTCCAATTATGTGAGGGTTGGGATACTACCCGTGGTGCCCAAACCGAATCAGGTAGTTTTCATGAGGGGCCAAACCCTAAGCCTTTGATCTAAAGGTATAATCCACAAGGTAGTGTATGAACATAAGGAGATGTAGTCCCATGATAGCCGGTGACCAACAATTGGTTCATACCCTATTTGTTTCCTTAGGGTCTTAGAGCCCATGTACATGATTGGTTTGAAATCAAGGTTTTCCAACTAACTCTCCTAGGTGGATCCTCCATATCCACCAACCTGGTTAAAGCACCGGATATTCGCTTTTCATCCTCTTCATTTCGTAAATAAATATTCGACTCCATATCTTTTATTATAATTGTATAGTAGTTAGATTATGCTTTAAAGTTGACCTTATACTTGACAAGAATAAAGTAGTTTGATTATATTTGTGTTGAATATTAAATCATTTCTACTTATATTCAGTTCGAACTTGGGGAACTATATTGATCTTTAGTTAAAATATAATTCATAATCATCAATGTCAAACGTCTATATTCTGCAACAAAGTAAGTGATTTGATAAACTATAATCATTATAAAATAAATTATGAATGTATCAGTTAATAGGTCGAGCATATCCAAATTAGAATGTGCTAGGAAGGTATACTGACACTAAACATTACAATAAAATGGAAACATGTGCTCACTTGTGACTCGCTTCTAAAAATAATTCTAGAAGTTTTAGTGAGAAACGGTAACCAGTGGAACTAATCCGTGTCGAGTGTGAGGCAGTCATTTACCAAAGAAAAAGGAAGATGGTCGAGGAATTTCGTTCGCTGGTTAATTTTAGATATTAACAACGTTAGATACCGGCTTAATGATGTAGAGATTAAGTGTTCATGCGCAAGATGAAAGGTCCTGTGTTCAATTTCTGTGTATGACATCGGAATGCTCGTTGCTAACGCTTCCCCCCCCCCACTGTGACTAAACAGTCGTTTAGTGTCCACAAGTTTATAACAGTAATCTAACATTGATCGATTCATGATCTCAATCAAAAATCCAACAGTAAAATCAATAACAATCGGTATAAATAAATACATATGCTTATCAGTGACGTAAGTAATCAAATGCTTACTTTATATTTGTTAGTTTGTCCTCTTTCATCTATTAGTTGTCATAGTAAAACTGTTATCTTTTTTTGTTGTTAATAAAAAGTCCCTTGGAAACTCAAATACTTTAATCGAATTTTCGATGAATGAAATAAATCAATAAAGTCGATTAAGGGGAAAAAAAATAGCACATTGACAATTACTCATCAAAAAATTAGTTTCTCAATTAGAGGATACTTTAACCATAGAAAATAAAATTAAAACGTGTGTTTATTTTGATTGAGATCATGAATCAACTGATGTTAGATCACCGTTGAAAACCTGGAAGCAGTGGACGGCGGTTTCGTGCAATTGTATGACTCCTCAGCAGTACGCATCCACGATCTCACTCACCGTGAGATTTGAACCCAGGACCTACTGGTTTCGTACGCGAGCGCTTAATCATTAGACCACTGAGCCGGCAGTCATTCAACGGTGTTAATGTCTAAGATCATTCATCAAAGTGAATAGTTTAATGATAAACCTTTTATTATCATTCTGAAAAAAACATCATCATATATACGCTACATTCATTTTCCAGCTTCTCCATTCATCATTCAGCTTACCAAGTTAGACATCAAACTTAACAAGTATTCCAAAATATTTATGAAATAATGAATAAGAAAACAATAGTTATTATCAATGTTTTATCAAATAACATCAAGTTATAATGGTAGAATAAGGGAGAGTGAATGCGCACTGCTGAGGAGTGCCACAATAGGACAAAATGGTCGTCCAGTACTTCTAGGTCTTCCATGGTGGTCTAGTTTCAATTGACTCATGATTTTAACCAATGTGAAATTTTTTTAGTTTAAGCGTTATGTTATTTGTTTCATTCAATTTATTTTATATGAACGTTTATTGAAACAACATGAAGACCTGGTTGAATATCTGGGCAACCTGTTTCTGTCATTTGAATATTTCAACAAGTTATTTGTTACCTTGTTTGTTTTAACACATCATTGTGTCCAATAATAGCATAATCTATTCAGATTGGTTGTACAAGTTACAAAAGAGCTCAATTAGATATATCGGAGTTGTTGAAAATATACATTGAAAAGGATGAACATGACTTAGATGTTCACTTCTGGGGGTGTTAACATCAAACTGGCGATCAATCAATAGTTCTCGTTAAGATAGACCAAGAAGTAAGAAACAAGTAACTTGTTGGAATACTTTGTGTTGACAGTTCTATATTGTACCAGAAATACAATAGTGAATAATGATAATACTTTGAATAGACAATAGTTATTTCTTTTAGTTTTCTTTCTTTTAAACAGAAAAAAACACATTTACTTCATAAAGAAGCCCTTCATTTTGACATCACCTTGAATCCATCATTTCTTTAGTGGCTTTGCTTTGTTAATCAATCAATTTTTGTCAACTTTATCATATAAATCTCAATAGTGTTTAAAATCAGAAGATAATAAGAAGTGTCAAAGCTACTACAATACGATTAATTTGAATGGTTAAGATCATGAGTTCATTGAAGCTAGTTCACCATAGAAAAACCTGGAAGCACTGAATGACCGTTTCGTTCTATTATGGGACTTCTCAGAAGTGTACATCCATGATCCCGCCTCGGAAGATTATAATCCAGAACCTATAAGTCTCGCACACAAGCACTTAACCATTTAACCTCTAAACCACGAATCTAGTGAGACAAGATCATGGATACTCACTGCCAAGGAATTTGATAATAGGACAAAACAAACGTCCAAGTTTTTCTATGATGATCTAGCTTCAATGAACTCATGATCTCAATCAGTGTACTTACTATCATACCCCTTCTGACATTACTGTTTCTCTTTTTTTTTTTTTCTTCTTCTTCTCATAGTTACATTTTGTCTAATCTATTGGTATCTTAATACATTACAGGTTAATGTATGTTTAGACAATGAATGAACAAAATTACCTGTTTTTTTTTCTTTCTTATTTAATGTTTATATTATATAAATGTCATTCAGTTTATATAGATGTGAAAATGTTAATTTTAGAATTTTCAAGTGTGTGTGTGTATGTGTATGTGTATGTGTATCTGAGAGGGGAGGGGTGTAGGTCGGAGGGAGAGGAGGGGAAAGATTTACAAGTTTCATATTATCCATAAATTCTGACATGATTTATAGTTCCCTTCATTTAACAATGTAATTATAAAAATAAAAAAAAACAATTTATAAAATGTCTAATATATAAAAGTGTAGTTTTAGTTCAATGTGAATTCATAAATATAAGCCATTCACAAGCATTCACTATTCAACTCTGTCCTAGACAATCCTTTCCAGGAATTACCACATACTATTCATCCTATTCATGTCTGATTCCGATTCCCGGCATAGTACGTTCTAGGGCCTGTTTTGCGTCTCCTTCAAGATTCCATGTTAGTACATGTCTTGTGATGCAGTTTGATGATTTTCACCTCTCTTATCGTTTCCCGAATTCCTCTTCAACTACAAGTTCATTTTGCTCTCATACAGTAGGATATTGATGATGGTATCCCACCAATAAACAGATATTCACTATCTTACATAGACAATTTTTTATACGTACCTGTGCCATTTCTATGATGGTTGTGGTAGTTCTCCATAATTCAATTGCATAAACCACTCACAAGCATTCTCTGTTCAACTCTGTCCTAGACAATCCTTTCCAGTAATTACCACATGCTATTCATCCTATTCATGTCTCTTTCCGATTCTCAACATACTGTGTTCTTTGGTCTTCCTCTTCTCCATTTCCCTTCAAGATTCCATGTTAGTACATGTCTTCTGATGCAGTTTGATGATTTCTACCTCTAGTGTCGTTTCCCAATTTCCTCTTCAGCTAGAAGCCCTCATACAGTAGGCTGTTGATGATGGTATCCCACCACTTAACAGACATTCACTATCTTATGTAGACAATTTTCTATACATACCTGTGACTATTTCATGATGGTTGTGGTAGTTCTCCATATTTCAGCTCCATGCAGTAGGACTACTTTCACATTCGTATTGAAGATTGTATCTTTGATATTGGGTTGACAGATTTTTGTTTGAATTTCATATATTCTTCAACTGTAGGAATGTTGTCCTTGAATTGCTAATCCTTGCCTATATGTCTGCATCGATTACTTCATGTTCATCAATTATGCTTTCCAGATACGTGAATGATTCCACCTCTTCCACAGTTTCTCCATCAAGTGTGATTGTATTGGTGAGGTATTCGACTATATATAATACAAATACTAATCTAAAACTAAATTTTTAATCTCTATATTCGATTTGTAATATTTATAGGATTTAACATGATAAAACAATCGTTCATTCTCATATTCAACCTTTCTTTGTAAAATGGTCCAACACATAACTAGTATTGAACCTACTCATTTGTTGAACTTTACTGGTTAACATAATTCTCTTCATCTTTCACATAGTAAATGGTTACATATACATTTTCATTTGAACATATGCAAACATATGGCAAACTTGGCTCATCAAAAGGTAATCAATCTCTTGTAAACACAAATAGTTTTCATCCTATATGGAAGTTGTTAGGTCCTGATAAGATAATAATGAATAGTAACTTTTGGGATCCATTTATGTTAATGAACTAAACTATTCATATTCGTGTCCCTCTTATTATGAGCTTTATTTTGACCTATGAAGTGTTATCATACCATTTACCATTCTTGAATGATGCCCTGTCTATTGATTACTACCTCCCACATTCACAGCCACATTTGGCTAATTCTTGTATCAATGTTGTTTCATATTTTATGGTACAATGTGGTCTGTCTGATTGATATATAAACCCAATATGTTTGAAATAAATGGTTTATATCACAGAGGCTAAGATTAATGTTCTGGACTTAACTGGCTGGACTAGACGGGAAACAGGATCGATAAGGATTCTAGACTGCTCGCATGTGTTTTACGCGTTCTTGGTCCGATCGATAATCCACTGCTCTCTAATTGGCGATCACAAGATATAACAGAAATCATCACAAGATTCATCAGAAGAATTTCAAGATAGTTTTTATTGTTATTGTTAACATAATCATTTCATGTATGTATACTTAATGAATCAAGAGAATAATGAATGTGTACTGTATGTAATTAGAACTTCGTAATAAACAATATGGACTCATTTAAGCATTAAATCAAATAAATAAAAGTTAACCTTAATCCTTTAGTTATATGAATATAACAATAAATAATGGAAATGTTAAAAGAATGCTAAAGCATATATATTCTAAATGAGTTACTATTTAAAGGGTATATCTATAGGAAATCAAGTAATCAGTTTCTATGGATAGAAATTGATTGATTGTATGCTTCTATATCAATCAAACATGAAGATATTAAACTCCAGTCAACAGCAATATCAGAATCAATTACACTAGAACAGGCCCCCAAATGCCCTGGTATGGCCAGGTGTGGGGAGAGTCCACTCTCCCTCTCGAAATGCTCTCACATAACCACGCATATATAGCCTCTGCCAGGGTAGCCCTACTCACTGCCTTCTCGCACCACGAGTGTTGTTTACCAAAATGAGAGGATGAAAAGCGAATGTCTAGCGCTGTAGCGGATCCCAAATCAATGGTGCACATGGGCTAGCTCCAGTATCCTGAAGGAACAAATGGCGTATGAACCAATCGTTGGTCACCGGCTACCATGAGACTGTATCACCTTACTATGCTCCACTGCCTTATGGATCAGACCTTTAGGTCGAAGGCTCGGGGTGTGGCTCCCTAAGAAAACCATCAACTTCGGTTTTGGCATCCAGGCACTATCACAGCCCTCACACATATCGAATGAGATCTGTGTGGCACATATGTATTTGGTGCCCCCTTGTACCAATATCTATGTGTTAAAATAAAATAAATAGAACAATAAACACTAGAACAGATTAGTTTTATCACTGTGATATATAATTCAAGTAATTACTCATGGTATCCAAGATATATCATCAATCTCTTTGTAAACACATGAGGACAATCATTGGAAAGCGATCAATTGGATTTGATAAATAATTATAGCA